ACGTGAGAGATAAACTGCGAGTAACGGTCAATTGCCAGCCTCAAAAGAGAGGTTGGCACTAAGCTCTGAGAGAGCAGGGGTTGTCATTCCCCTCTGCAGCCTTGGCTGGCACCAAAGGGGCTCAGGAGCTTCTCTCACCCTCAGCTTCCCACCATGGCTCTTAGAAGGTAAATGCTTGTTCTGGTAACACAGCTCTGCAGGGATGTGCCACTCTGCAGACAAGGCCTTTGCCCAATGTCCCCTAAGCCAGCATTAGTCTCACACCGCCAGATCTCAGGATGGTTTTCAGTTCAGAACATAATTCTTTGGTCACGTAGTCTCTGCCCAGTCCTGCGAGGTGACACCTGAATGGCAGTGAAGCGTGGAGGACTTCTCTGCAGGCATTACATCTGCATACTTACTCAGTGACTTTCTCCTCTCCCTGGTATTTGTCACTTCAGATTTCCACACAAGTGGAGGAGAACTAAAGAGGCTTAGACTCAATTCAAGCCCTTGCACTGGGCCTGCAGCGTTTCACAGCTGTGTGATTCAGGGAAGGTGACGTGCTGGCTGAGTACTGGGACTTCTGGGACTCTGGGAGATAGAGCAGCTGAACCACTTAGAGCAAAGTCACCTCCAGTCAAACCCACCTCGGCTCAGCTGACACCTTTTTATCAGTGTTGTGCTACAGAGCCTGTGTGTTGCACAAATCTTTGGAAAGAGCTATGTGAACCTCGGGGAGAGGGAACTGGAGGATCAGTTGCTTTTTTTCTTGTAGAGAGGATCATTACCAAGGGTGGTGAGAAGGCTCAGCTACTGAGCTGGGAGCTATGGGTAAATTACAAACTGGAACACTTTCTGGGGTTTAGAACTTTCAGATTTAGAACCACACTAAACGAGTTTTTCAGTTTCTCAGCCAGAACAGGGAAAGGGGCTGTGCACACCCTCCAGTTCCCCTGCACGCACAGTTTACCCTCTAGAGCACCTGCACCAGCACCGATATGCTGGAGATCAAGGTGCTGTGGTAGGTGCTTGAGTTCAAACTCCTTCAGTACAAAGGAATCTTAAATGTTAAGGGAGTGGGGAAAAGGAGCATGAAAGTGGCTCTGCACAGGTAATAGTCTGAGAAGTCTTTGTGCTTCAGAGTGGTTGCATGTCCCTGCTCTGAGATATCCCTGTGAAGAGTTTGTTGATCTCATTGGTGTGCAGCAACCTTAGCAGTGTGGGTTCACTTTGCTCCTTTATTTATGGTTCAGTTGATCTATTAGTCCTATCTGGACTTCAAAGATCTTTTCATGTGCCTCCTGGAAATGTTCCTTCCTTAAGTTTTTCTCCAATTTGCTGACTGCACTGCACAGCCCACACAACCCAAGAGGTATTTCTATCTAGTTGTGTTATAGGCCATTTGATTGATTATTCCTGGCTCCAGGCTTGTGCTTCTAGCACTGTATTTTCACTTAACTCCATCACCTCAAAGGACATTTTTCCTGCCCTTATTTTCTCTGTCAGCTTTTTGGGAACAGGAACAAGACAGAAAAAACGCATTAAGTTCTGCAATTTATTTCTTAGTAATTTAGAAAAGGTCTCAGGATGTGGATCTGCTTTTTAACTATTCCTCCCATTTTGTGCATCCCAGCTTCATTTTATTCTAAAAGTCACAGGCTCTCACCTATTTCCAAATAGCCCCTGGCAAGAATTGAGCAAATTGAATCGAACAGCACGTTAAACTGACACTGGAGGTGTGACCCTCTCGCTTTTCAGGGTGAAAGGGGAGTGGACACTCAACAACAGACCTTGTACCAAGGCAGGCAAAACTCTTGCGCAACCTGTTGGGTTTTGGCAGGCAGCTCTCAGGGCTTTCAGTCTGGGAACTGGAACGTGACAAGATCAAATGACACAAAATGCAGAGGTGTAGGGATAGCAAAAGGCAAAGTACAAGGATGAGTTGCCTTATCTCCACTATTTAGAGCAAAAAACAACTCTGTGACCATCCAAGGAGTTGCTCTAGGGAGGTGCTTTGTCCTATGTGCATAGAAGGGCCCAAAATACCACTGGTCCCTGCACCATGAACATGCAACAGACCAGAGACTATAGGAAAAACAATTTAAAATCTCTTCCTGTCACTGTGACCAGGCTGGAGTGAGGCAAGTGTGCTTATCCTTTGTGACACAGCGGTGGAGGAGCACCAGAGAGCCAGCTCTGAACACAGTTCAGGCTTGGTTTTGAAGGCAGCCGTCCTTGCAGGAGCACACCGTGGGTGACATTTAAGGAACTTGTGCTTTATTCCAACAAGCAGAAAATTGGCTCAAGACTCTTACATGGAGCTCTTGTGCTACAAGTATCATAAATTAGAAAATGAAAAGAAAGACACTTTATTTACCTTGACTCATGCAATGGTTTGCGTGCAGAGCAGCCCTGTCTGGAGATTCTGCAGGGAGATGTGTGTCAGGAAAGGCTCCGCTCCCAAGCCTGGTCTGAGGTTTGTCGAGGTTAGCACTCTGCAGAATAGGCTCTTGGTTTTGATAATTTCTCTGCTCTGATTCTACTTGTGCAGAAGCTGTGGGAGACATTTATTGTGCTGGTAGGAAGTTTGCTCTCTACAAGAAAGGGAAAAGTTGGAAGTCAGGAATCTTGAAGTTAGGGTAAGTACAAAGGTGCCAACAGCAGAGTGCAGCGAGGCTGGGCAGCCTTGGTGAGGCAGCGAAGGCACCTCTTTGATTGCAGGGTGCACAGCAGCCCAGCTGGTGATTGTGGTAAAGCTGCAGGTTACAGAGGGAAGGAAGTGGTTGGTGGTACAACGTAAACAGGCCGTTCTCTTGAGGCTCAGCACTGCTGCCAACTTGAGCAGTGGGGCAGCATCGTCAGGGGTTGCTGCTTAGGGACCCTTGGGGCAAGAAGAGAGCTCCTGTCATTGACTTTACTCATTGGCATGCAACAGGCTCTTCTCAACAAACCTACCCATAAAAAATCAGGTCAGAAGACAAATATCCCTGCATGTGTCAGCACTGAAACTGAAAAAGTTTGGGGGAAAAGCTGACTTTTCACCACTCACATTTAGGATTTCCCGTAGGCTGGAGGAACGGAAGGTAAAGGGACCGGCCTGCTTGGCTGCTATGGCTCAGCCCACAGGCATGTGTGTTGCAAGCTGTAGTTCACGTGCCCTTTTGAACTAAAGGGCAGGTTTACTCAGGAGACAAACACAGAAGAGGGAGCTGGCTCATTCCCCAAAAACAGTAGGTCCAACTGAAAACATGCGTGAGATTGTTTGAGCAGCTAATTGCACCTTTTCTGAGCACTGTCATGACTTGCATTCAGATGGCTGACATCTCACCCCCAGCATTCTGCAGGGCTGTCTCTGTGAATAGTGTAACCAGCCAGCACAGACAGACTTCCAGATACAGCCAGAGCTGAACCAGGAGGTGGGAAAAAACAATTCTGCAAACTGGAACCCTCCTTGCGGAAGCCTGTACCTGGAAATGGAAGGTCACAGGACAGGAGGACAGGAAGGCAGGAGGGACACGAAGGGGCACAGGCAAGAGGTTGTAAAGGATGCTGCACAGGTGTGCAGGATGACTCAATGTCCACTTCCTTCCAAATCCTGTTTACAAATCCAAACAGAGCTACACCACTTGGCAAATGTAACCATTAACCTTACTAGAGGACCTGATGAGACAAAAGAGTAGTGGAACATTAACTGTAGTTGGGGCATTACTCGGCTCTTATACTGAATGCTCTGCTCACCCAGGGCTGGCCAGCACAGCTCCCACTGCCCTCAGTGCTGGCCCAGCCACCACAGCCCCTGTCAGTGCACACAGCCTGGCCTAAGTGGCTTCTGTTGAGCTGATAAAGCCACTGTGGGAAAACAGAGCGAGCACTGGTGTGGTTTACAGTGGGGACTGTGTGGCTGGCAGCAGCTTGACCAAGAAAAGCAGCTTTTCACCACTGTGCAGGATGTTCTTTGTAGAGTGTGATACGAGTCTGTGGTCAAGGAATTTTATTGACAGGACTAACCTCATCCTTCCCAGAAGCTGGAGGCCTCCCTTGGGTACCCACACAGCTCCCTGCTCCTGGGCACTGTGTCCCTTTGCTCCCACAGATGATGCAGCAGCATCTAGTGGCCAGGTGCTCTAAGAGCCCTGGCAGTGTCCCCAGCAGGGACTGGGTCCTGAACTGCCTCTTTCCTAAAGAGCAAAAATCTTCCAGCAGAGTGTTTTCACTTTGCAGAGTGAAAACCATCTGCTACAATTATTTTTCCTTGTTTCAGGTACATCTGTTCCACCATACCCTCAGGAAACCTTTGCTCTTTTCTGGAAAACTCTGAACAGAGATGGAGAAGGCAGCTCTGACTGGCCCCCGTTTCCACACAGACTGAATCACCTCAGTCCTCAAGCAGATTCAGTGGTGCTGGAACATGAAAGAAAAGCCTTCAGGGCTACAGCTCCCATGCTGCAGTGCACAAGAGGAGAAAGCAGCTCACAGCAGTTTAAAATGTATTTTTCTTCCCTTCTAAGTTGCAGAAAGGCTGTGAGTAAAGGCAAGTGCATTTTGTGGAATAGCGTTTCTGTGTGATTTTTAGAAGAAATGCTGAAAGACTGCAATAAGCCTTCATAAAATAATCTATTTTATTAGAGCATAATCCTCTAATTCTGGCTGACCTGCTTTAGGAGTTGCTGCTTGAAACTCTCCAGCAGTTCAGGTGCAAACTGGTCAGCGGTTAAGTTCTTAATGTTCATGATCCCTTCATGGGCTTCCTGGAAGAGCTCCTTCCCCACAGCTTCTTCCACCCGCCGGCGCCACTCCGCCAACTTTGGCCTCTCCTCAAAGAGGTTGTAGCCAGCACCTACAGGCTGCAGGGAGAGAGAGCACCTGGGAGTGAGTCAAACAAGGCATTTACCAGGGATGGAACCAAAGGAAGGACCGATAGGCTTTTGGCTCAAGGCAGCAGTCAGTCATCACATTGGGTGGAGCTCATCTCTGGTTCTTAGCTCATAGGAAGCAAGTGGTGACATCCTCAGCAGCTGCTGTCCCCAGAGACATGCAGCAAACAGCTCTGGCATGGCTAACCCCAGAACTGTCTAACACAGAACATGGAGGTTCATGCACACCAGCACATCTCTTCCAAATATCTTTACTTTCTCTGCCTAGTTTGTAATTTATCTTCTTTGACCATATTTGACCATATTTCTATAGAAAGAACTGTGTCATCAGAGTAGGTGTTCCCTGGCAAACTTAATTAGGGTCAAAGTCAAAAAGGAACAAGACTTAACCCCATGGAAGGGTTAACTGCAGGGAGCTCTGCTGTTACCAAGGTGGTGGTGCAGTAGCCACCCCTTGGCCTGGCCTGCCCACAGCCCAACCCACATACCCAGCAGCAGGTTGATGCTCACCTGCATGAGCTCCACCAGTGCTACGAGGTCTGCCAGGGAGACCTCGCTGCCTGCGATGAAGGGCTTGTCCTGCAAGAACTTCTCTTCAAACTGCTTTAGGACAACATTGAGGTCCTCAATAAGAAATTCCAGTTTCTCTGCAGAAAGTGGCTGGCCTGTGAGGATAGGCAGCAGCACCTGGCAGGGAGAAGAAACAAGTTGCTCTTTAAGTGATTCCTTCCAAATCTGGTCATCACCCTCTCTTTGCCCCCCTCTGAGGATCCCTCACCAGCCAGGCAAAGGAACAACTGGAACTGCTCATCTCCCTTGCCAGGTCAACATTAATGTCAGTCACTACTTCCTGCCTCTCCTTGTCTCCTCCCTAGAAATCTGAAATTTCAACCGCAAGAATCTCCTCTCAAGGGAAGACTGCATCATCTGCCAGCAACTGCGTTTTGTTTTCCAGTAGGAGGTTGGTTCTTTCCATGAAGCCGAGCAGCGGGCGCTGAGCTGTGTCTGGTGAGCGCTGCTCACCCAGGATGAGTTTGCTCTGGATCTCACAGAGCAGTGGCTGCACCATGAGGGATTCTGGCCACTTCAGTTAGGCTCAGCTGAGCAGCCAAGTCAATTCCAGATCTAGTTTTGTTCCAGTTTGCCACCTGACTTGTACATTTGCTCGGGAAGGCCCTGCACACGGGTGGGCCGTTGCACTCACAGCTCTTAGCACTTAACTTTTGGTATATGATGGTCTCACCTTCGATAGGAACACCTTGCTCCCCTTCGCACGGATGTTGGCGTGCTGCCATGACAGGTACTCATCGACCCTCGCCCTTTTCTGCAGGTCAGATGGGTACCAGTGATCAGGAGTCTTGAATTTCTGGGCGAGGTACAGGAGGATTGCAATGCTGCCCAAAGAGCGAGACAGACCAGTGAGCTGATCACCTGAGAGTAAAGCACCTCGTCCTTTCTTCTCCCCCCAAACTGTGCACTGCTGGACAAGCAGCAACACAAGCCTGATCCAAGTCAGGTAGAAGTGCAGGACATGGAACTGCCAGCAAGGCACAGCACAGGAGAGAGTTTGTGCTGGCTCAACCAGCTGCTTGCGGGCAGCAATTATCTGATACATCCGCCCAGCGAGACAGACGTGGCCTGCTGGCACAGTTACCCCATGACACTGTTGAGCAAACAGGAGCTGCAGAATGAGTTTATACCAAAGCTGACCTTCACAGTGCCCGGCCATTCAGCAGCAGGTGCCTTATGTCAGATTTCCTGCACTGACCTACAGCCTCCAGCTGCAGGCAGAGAGCAGGAGGACACGTGGACAGGTATTTAAGCTGGGAAACACTGCCTACATGCAAGGTAGCTCTAAGCAGCAGCCCACTGATCTTTGCACTATCAATGCTGTTTGAGTTGTTTACATTAGAAGGATTCTCTTGAAACGTAAGTTTGTTGTGTACAAGTGGAACCGATAGGAAGGAAGAAAAAAACTGCCTGGGCTGGAGTCCCAGCAGTGCCCTGGCAGAATCCAAGCTTTGGGATAAACAATACTGCAGGTAGGGGTTGAGCTTATTTGAGCCTCACCTCTCTGCTAAGGTGAAAGAACCATCCCTTAGTGCAGGCACCTTCATCAGGACATTCACCTTCCGGAACTCCTCCGTCTTGTGCTGCCCTGAGGAGGGAAATGAGAAGTTTTACTTGGCAGGGATAGTCAGGACTTGTCTGCAACACTTGTGGGGACCATTTGGCCTCGAGTTCCTGGTTTTGATTGTACAAATACAGTCTTGTATCAAGCTTATAATCAATCAATGAGTGCTGCAGGGTGAATAGGGGGGTTGCCCTATGGTATCACCTTACTTGCTTATTGTCTGCATACCAGACCCACCTCTTGACCACAGGCAGAATGGCTAGGAGTCCTTTCATACCAATAGTGCTTGTCTACTCAGGGCTCTATTAGCTCCAAGTTTGTGCCTGGAGGTACCTGTCCTGTACAAACCCAGAGTGAGCACTGAGTGCCTTAGAGGAAAGGGATCTCACTGTCAGAAACATCACCAACATGGACAGTGAGAAAGCAGTTTATTTTTTTTTCCTGGATGATAATGTAATTTATATTCAACTCTCTTTTTAGTCCTCAGATGAAAATAAATTTCTGTGATTCCATATAAAGATGGAATCAGCTCCTGTGCACTTTGTCATATCTTTTGTCAGAGAAAATATGGATTTGTTGCTTTTAAGCTATCTTGTAGGTCCCCCCTGAAAGGCAGGCAGAGTGAATCTGACAGGAGAAGGTGCTTTGTTCATTTGAGGTCTCAACATGCTCTGTTGTGTCTGGACCCAGTCCCAGAAGCCTTGTTTTATGTGACTTGTTTGTGCTGGCCTTTTCCAACCACTGGCTTCAGTCACACATGTGTACCTGTGTATTCAAGCCTCTCTTATGTGTAACTAACCTTGTGCCACCTCCTGCTATGTGAGTCACCTGAGAATCTGTGTGCCAGAGGAGATGTTCTGGAAGTGATTTTAGCTTTCCCAGCATCTGGCAAACCTGATTTGTGACTATTCCCCTCGTCACTTGGCTCACAGCCCATCTCTGCCACCCCCTTTCAAAAAGATGAAGTGTGAAGATTCCAGGTCCTCTCAGGTGTCCTTTGAATATCATGTGATTTCTATCCATTCTCACTCTTTCCACCCCTTTCCTTGAGACCTGCCCCACTGGGGGCCCTGGAGCTTTTCTGAAGGGACACATTCAGTGCACCAGCTCAGTTCTGAGTATCGATTCCCTCTCCTGCTCCTCACATGCTGTGCAGTGATGGGTACTAGTGCAGCAAGGCCTCCCACACTGTGTCCCAGGGCGAGCTAACCCAGCTGCAGGTACATGGAGCCCTTCCCTGTGGTATGGGAGGTGCACACACTGGAGGAATGGGGTGGGATGCACTTTTAGCATTCCCATTGGCCAAATAACCCATCTTAAATGCACTGGCCAAAAGCAGGCACTGATGCCACGGGGCACAGAGCACTGGGAAACTGTGACTTAATTAATTTTCCTTCCTCTCAGTTCCCTGATACCTGTATTCCAGTTGTTCCATTCCTCTTGATGCTCTCACTGCTTGCCTGCCATCTCCTTTGCAGCAGTCACACCACAACAGTTTATTTATTGGGAAAGAAGGGTAAGGACACAAGATGAGCCTGCCCCCAGTTACAAACAATTGCAAAAATTTTTGCTATGAAATAGGTGGGAGGAAAAGCCACAGCAAGGTACAACCAACGCACAGCTAAGGTGTGCAGGGGAACACCCAGAGACTAAACCACATCACCCCTGAGATCTGAGTCACAACTTGGAGCCTCTTTTGTTCCTTTATCAATTTCAGCCCCAGAAGCCTTCTCACTGTTTTTAAGCATTACTTACTGAGGCATTGTTATGCCCAATACATTACCTTAATTTCAAATCCAGCAGAGCTCTGGAAAGGTTGAAAGACAGCTTTTACCAGCTTCAGTTACAAAGAAAGAAGATGCAGATCTTTGGGCATCCTTTGGTGAAAACACCCAGTACCCCTTGGACAGGCTCCTATCAGTTATCAGTTGGTCCTAGCCCAAATAAAACCACCTTCCTTTCTTCATTTATCAGTGTTCAGATCACTGGCAGCTGCATTGTCTCGCTCCACAGCCTTCACAAGTCTGCCCTCAACCCTCTCAAAATAACCTGGCTACAAACTGCCTGACCCAATGGAACCCCCAGAGGGACAGCCAACTGCCCTGCCCTGCCCTGCCCTGCCTGCACATGGGCAGTGAGGACCCTCATACATGAGGACCCTCCCACGGAGCTGTTAACCCCTGCCAAGAAAAAAAGAGTTGCTCTGCAACAACTGCTGCTGCTTACTGGAGCACAAAGCTTTTTAAAGAAGTTTAATTAGGGAACAAGAACTGCACACCTCGGCTGTCCTCGCCCATACATGTATGTCCCACCTCTGAATTTCTGTTTCCCATTAACCGGGGAATGCCCTCAGACCTGGCACATCCTGAGCGCTTCTCAGAAAAGCCCCTTTTATCAGACTCACTTTCTGCCGGGGTGGAGCCGATTTCAAAGATACCACACGCCTTTGCAGAGTCCTCTTTGTTGCAGAGGAACAGAGGTACTGAGATGACTACTTAAAAAACAGGGGTGCACTGGACAATTAGGTCCTGTTTTTGTGTAGGCACCAGGAACCCTCTGCAGCGGGAGGGCCACCTCGCCCTCTCGCAGCATCTGGCACGGATGGGGACGGTGAGTAACCCGCTTTCACCCTCGGGCTGGAATCCGGCAGCTCCCCCGGGAGCGGCGAAGAGACGCGAGGCGCCCGCGGGTGGAGCAGCTGGGCCCCGACTA